GTTTTGGGTGTGCCCGAGTTTGGTGGGTCCTTCATGGGGCTGGTGAGGTTTTGGGGTGCCCATTTTGGGGTCCCCGGAGCTTTGTGGGTTCCTGGAGGGGCTTGGGAGGGTTTTGGGGTGCCCGTTTTGGGTGTGCCCCATTTTGGGGATTCCTGCATGGGGCTGGTGAGGTTTTGGGGTGCCCATTTTGGGGTCCCCGGAGCTTTGTGGGTTCCTGGATGGGGCTGGGGAAGTTTTGGGGTGCCCATTCTGGGGTCCCTGGAGTTTTGTGGGTTCCTGGATGGGGCTGGTGAGGTTTTGGGGTGCCCGTTTTGGGGTCCCCGGAGCTTTGTGGCTCCCCGCAGAGCCCGGTGACGTTTCGGGGTTCCCATTTCCGGGGTCCCCAGATCTGTGTGTGTCCCCGGCGGGCCCGCTGGCACTCCGGGCTCCCCGTTTTGGGGGTGCCCATTTTCGGGGTGCCGGGGTCAGTCCTTGCCGCGCGAGGCCTCGGCGTTGGCGCGCAGCACGGCGCCGGGGCTGGGGTACGGCCGCTGCTGGAACAGGGGCCCGGCCGCCGTCGTGTCCGCGCCCGTCTTGGCCTCGTTGCGCTTGGGCAGCCCCGTGGACCACGTGCCCCTGCCAGGGCACCGGGGGGGGTCACGGGGGTCCCCCAAAGCCGGGGCACCCCCAGAACCCCCCCCAGTCAGCCCAGCCCGTACCGGGGCGCGTCCGAGTAGGCGCTGGGGTCCATCGGGTCCAGCTCCTCGTCCTTGCGGCCGCCTGCGGGCACGGGGGTCAGCGCGGCCCGGGGACCCCGAAATGGAGGGGACCCCACCTCGGAGAGCCCCGAAATAGAGGGGACCCCACCTCGGAGAGCCCCGAAATCCTGGGGACCCCCCCCTCGAGACCCCCGAAATGGAGGGGACCCCCACCTCGGAGACCCCCGAAATAGAGGGGACCCCCACCTCGGAGAGCCCCGAAATAGAGGGGACCCCACCTCGGAGAGCCCCGAAACAGAGGGGACCCCCACCTCGGAGAGCCCCGAAATAGAGGGGATCCCCCTCGAGACCCCCGAAATGGAGGGGACCCCCACCTCGGAGAGCCCCGAAATAGAGGGGACCCCCACCTCGGAGAGCCCCGAAATAGAGGGGACCCCTCCTCGGAGACCCCCGAAATAGAGGGGACCCCACCTCGGAGGAGGTTTTGGGGACTCCCCTGGGGTTTTAGGGAGCCCCCAAATCACTCCTGGGGTTTTGGGGACCCCCCCAGGGTTTGGGGAACCCCAAGATCCCCCCCGAGGGTTTGGGGACCCTGAGATCCCCCCAAGGGTTTGGGGACCCCCCCGGGGTTTGGGGACCCCCCAGATCACTCCTGGGGTTTTGGGGACCCCCCCCAGGGTTTGGGGAACCCCAAGATCCCCCCCGAGGGTTTGGGGACCCTGAGATCCCCCCAAGGGTTTGGGGACCCCCCCGGGGTTTGGGGACCCCCCAGATCACTCCTGGGGTTTTGGGGACCCCCCCCCAGTTCCCCCTGTGGGTTTTGGGGACCCCCCAGACCCACCTGAGGTGTTGAGGAACCTCCCAGATCCCTCGGGGGGTTTTGGGGAACCCCCAGATCCCCCCACAAGGTTTTGGGGACTCCCCCAGACCCTCCCGGGATTTTGGGGCACCCTCGTGGTTTTGGGGCCCCCCTGGGTTTTGGGGCCCCCCCACATCCTCCCACGGAGGTTGGGGACCCCCCCCGATCCCCTGGGGGGTTTTGGGGACCTCCCCAAGGTTTTGAGACCACCCCCATATTCCCCCCGGAGTTTTGGGGACCCCCCCCAGCTCCTCCCAGGGTTTGGGAACCCCCTCAGATCTCCCCATGGGCTTTTGGAACCCCCAAACCCCGCCGGGGTTTTGGGAACCCCCCCCAGACCCTCGCGGGGTTTTGGGGCCTCCCCGGTTTTGGGGTCCCCGTCCCACCGGCGGTTTTGGGGATCCCCCCCCGGGTTTTAGGAGTCCCCCTGGGGTTTTTGGGACCCCCCAGAGCCATGGGGGGACTATAGACCCCATGGAGCCATAGGGGCCCTACAGAGCCCTGGGGGGTCCTATAGAGCCATGGGGGGACCGACAGAGCTCTGGGGGGACCCTACAGAGCCCTATGGACCCTATGGAGCCCTGGGGGGGCCCTATAGAGCCATGGGGGTCCCTATGGAGCCCTGGGGGGGCCTATGGAGCCCTATGGACCCTATAGAGCCACCAGGGGCAATATGGAACCTATAGAGCCATGGCGGGGGGCTACAGAGCCATGGGGAGCCATGTGGACCCTACAGAGCCCTGGAGGGACCTACAGACCCTATAGAGCCCTGGGGGGACCCTACAGAGCTCTGGGGGGGGATCCTATAGAGCCCTGGGGGGGCCTATGGAGTCCTATGGACCCTACAGAGCCCTGCGGGGCCATATGGACCCTACAGAGCCCTGGGGGGCCCTACAGATCCTATAGAGCCCTGGGGGGCCCTATGGAGTCATGGGGGAGCCACAGAGCCATGGGGGGGGCTGTGGAGCCCTATGGACCCTATAGAGCCACGGGGGGGCCACACGGAGCCTATAGATCTCTATGGATCCTACAGAGCCATGGGGGGCCCTATGGACCCTACAGAGACCGGGGAGGTATGGATCCTGTGGATCCTATAGAGCCCTGGGGAGGTCTAAGGACCCTATAGAGCCCTGGGAGTGGCCCTATGGATCCTATAGAGCAATGGAAAGCCCTATAGAACCTACAGACCCACGGAGGGCCCTACGGACCCCATAGAGCCCTACGGACCCTATAAACTGCTGCAGACCCCACAGAGCCCAGGGCAGGGCCCCACAGAGCCCTGGGGGGCCCCAGGGACCCCTCAGCCCTGCAGCTCTGGGAGGGGCGGGGTCTCTGGGGTGGGGGAGGGTCTC